ACTACTACTTCTCCTCCTCCTCCTCCTCTTCCTCCTGCTGCTTCTTCTGCTACTACTACAGCTACTATTTACGGTGTGTTGTGGCACACAAGCACTTCTTCTTGAGGTCTGTGGAGTTCCCACCAGAGGTCTGGCGCAGCGTGCCGGAGGAGATTCGAACTATGTATCGGATCGATTAGATATCCCAGAGACCAGCGAGCGAATTTGCTCTGGTCTATGGATCGGATGCTTTTCGGGGGTGGCGATATCCCTGAGACCGATCACCTGATTTGCTTGGGAAAAAATCGAAGACGCACTTGACATTCAAGCTGTTCAAGCTGCACAGCTCATGGGTTTAGTGTTTCAGAGTTTCGGGACTGTATGAATGAGATTGCGAGCGGCCCGGAAGTGCGTATCCGTTGTTTCAACACATCCTTTGGCTCTAGTTTTCAAGCATGTCTGACCTTGTCTGTCAACTCCAAGATGCTTGCCGTGGGCCGAGATTGCAGCAACTGCAGTCCCTGGACGTGGATTCTGCCTCCTGAGACTTGTTGCGACTTGAGCCAATGTGATCTAGAGTTCGCAAGGTTTTTGAAGATTTTTCTCGCCAGGTAAATCCTAAACTCTGAACCGGTCAGCGGACCCTAACTCCCCCCTCCCCCAGAAAAAAAAACCCAAAACCCTAGACCCTAAACCCTAGACCCTAATCCCTAAGCCCTAGACCGCATGACCCCCAAAAAGCCCCCACATCTGAATCCCAGAGCCCCGATTTCACAGACTCTTTCGAGATTCAGACATGGGGTTTAGGGTTTAGGGTTCTTAAGAAGCAGGCCACAGGAGTGCATATGGCTATGTTGGGGTTGCATCATAGGGTTCAGGGGCTACCCTGGGGCTGTATCACAGGGTGCAAGGGCTAGTCTAGGGCTGTATCATAGGGTTTAAAGGCTATTCTGCGCTATCACATTGGGTTTGAGGGCTACTCTGGCCGTATTATTGGGTTCAAGGGCTACGTTGGGGCTGTATCATTAGGGTTTAAGGGTCACTTTGGGGCTGTATCACAGGGTTTAAGGGCTTACGGGCTATTTTGGGGCTGCATCATGGTCACCCTAAACCCTAAACCCTCAAGACCCCAAACCCTCAAAACCCTCAAAACCCTAAACCCCCAAAACCCTAAACCTCCTAAGCCCTCAGAACCCTAAACCCTAAACCCTGAGCCCTAACTAAGCCCAAACCCCAAAGCCCTAAGGTATACAGGGCTCGGAGTGCTTCGTGCCCTTCCGCTGTTCGGGCAGAACTTTTCGTTGTCCATTTGCAGCACCCTAAATAGTAGGATCCCCAGTATAGTACCCTAAATGGTAGGAGCCTTGTTTTAAAAGGACCCCAAAATAGGGTACCCCTTATTTTCGGAAACTCCCATTTCTCCACCCCAAAACCCGAGCCAGCGGCCGGCCGCCTGTGCACCAGGCCAGGGGCAAACGAAACAGTTTAGGGTTCAGGCTTTAGGGTTAAGGGTTTAGGGTTTAGGGATGAGGGTTTAGGGTTCAGTCAGGGTTTAGGGTTAAGGGTTAAGGGTTCAGGGTTTCGGGATAGGGATTAGTGTTTAGGTTTTAGGGTTCAGGAGATGCCTCTGGGTCCGGATAGCAAGAAAAGCTCAGGTTAATGTGAACCCTCTGCAGCTACGGATCAGTGTGCCGAGCCGAAAAATTGGACCTTGAGGGATTCGACTGTGCTCAGAACAGGAAGCTCTAGCACAATCGTTTGTATAGCTTGGAAACACGTTGGTCTCGTTTCCAGAAGTTCGAAGATCAGTCGCAGACTCCTACATGAAACTGGAACATGCTGTTTTTTTACGCTCTACACTCTCGCGGAATCGCAAGCCCGAATAATATACTTAACACCCTGACCTGGACCCCAACCCAGAAGGTTCGTATGGTTGAGGGTTTAGGTTTGGGTTGAGGGACGCATTTCGAAGTCACGACATGCGCTGCGGGTATGGCGCTGCCATCCGTCGAACAACTCTCGGCCGCGGGTGACGATGTGCCTGCTCCTCAATGTTTTTCCAACCTTGTCCCGTAAAGCCCTAGCTCGTAGACACCCTAGAACCTTAAACTCCAAACCCCGAAACCCTAAACCCTGAATTCTAAATCCTAGAACTCTAAACCTGAAACTCTAAGTCAGCTTTATCTAGTAAGTCAGAGTGTCGCGCGTTCCAATCATGAGTCCCCGGGACTCCCAGCAACTCCAAAATCCCTCAAGTCAGTTGCAGCGCAGTTTAGGGTTTAGGGTTTAGGGTTTAGGCGGTTTAGGGTTTCGGGGTGAAGAATTACGAACGGTCTTCCTAATTTGGGCTCATAGCTGTTTTTGCTGATAACTATGCTATAATCTACCCGATAGCCTTATTCTCTCAGATTCTCCCTCAACTGTCGTAGCGAGCCTGGAGTCAGGGACCCCTACTCAGGGATGCTCCTGAGTCTTGAAGCTATCGTTATTCGATGATCACATAATATGGAAGCCTGGAATATTCGTGCTTTCTTCTTTAGGGCTTCTGATTGTTGCTTTTTTCTATTATTGTTGTTAGTACTTTTAGTACTACTGTCACTGTTCCATTATTATCATAATAATGCCTTTGGTGATTACTATGTTTATGATGATGATTGTGCTTATGATTATTACATATTATTACTATTAGAAGCGGTAGTGTTATATTTTAGTATTACCGTTATTACTACTATTGTTGTTGTTGTGATGCGTACTATTGCAGCACAGTGTAACTCTGACTAGTTTGCTCTAGTACCCCCCCATATGGCCCCAGAAGGTATCATATAGCACCTCCCGAAACTTTATTCTAGTTATCGTTGTCCCTGACGTTAAATTTTGCAAAAGAGTACAAAACCCCGAAACGACCTTGTTCTAATGATGAAGGCGAAGCCAAGCTCCTGGATCCATCTCTCACTTCCAACATGAACTGAGAGTGGTTTATTTTTGAAACTGTTTTGTGATGTGGTTTTCTTCGTTGCTTTGAAGCTGTGATACAGTATGTTAGTATGGTGTCCATAACAGGCCTGTACAGGATTTATCGCGGCATTTTTGAATGTTCTTGTAACAGGAGAGAGACCGAGATCCTAAACCCTACGTCGCACCCTAAACCCTAAACCCTAAAGCCTAAACCGTTAACCCGAAACCGTTAACCCTAAAACCCTAATCCGTAAATCCTAATCCCGAAACCCTAAACCCTGAACCGGGAATCCTTCTGAAACGGAGAACCTCTGCCTGAGTGTGTTTTCGAGGGGTTCCGGCAGGGCTACTTTTCTGGGTTCCTATAGCGTAGGGGCCTTAATCTATACTATTTTGGGGGTTCCTTACTATAACTATAGTATAAAAGACGCCAAAACCCTATTCTAATTATGAAGGCCCCTACGTTAAGGCAAGGGCTCTTGCAAGTTCCTTCAACAATTCCTACAAACATTTCTTTAAGGGATTTTTGGAGACACCGCAGGAGTGCATCCCTTTGTCTTGGAGGGCAATCATATGAGGATTTGTATTGCAGTGTTTATCAAGAGCCGGGTGGGTCGTTCATCAGGAGCCTGCGTTACACGCAGAACCTTTAAACCCTCATAAACACCCGTAAGAAGCCCTGCAACAAACTCGAACAGCCAAACGAACCCTTGCGTTTTGAATGGCTACCAGGCTGGATCTAGGGAAAAGAACTGTAATTATTGGTTTTCAACCAAACCTAATCCCCGAAACCCCAAAACCGTAAAGCCCTAAGGTTTTTGGCAAACCAGAAACGCTTTATTGGCTACCTTGATCCCTACGAAACAGCCAACATTAAATTTTGTTCAAACGTACCAAGTTCAGTATAGTTCCCTAAGGGTCCAAGTACCCATTATTTAAGGACTTTGGGGCCTTTTTGGGTACCTAAAACCATAAATACGGACTGCTTGGACCCTTAGGGGTCGGGTTTAAAGACCAGGTTCGCTTCACTTGCAGCATTGGGTCTGGCAGAGGCAGTGTCGAAGCTCGCGCTTGGTAGAGCTGGCTGGGCGCTGTTCGGTTGAGGGTTTAGCGTAAGGTTACTCCCTTACAGTGCCTGCATATTTCTACGTTGCTAAACTCGACGCCGAAACCCTATTCTAATCATTCAGGCCCTAGCATTAGGGTGTTAAGGTTCAGGTTGGAGGCTTTCAGGCTCTGTACGGGTTTTATACAGGTCGCAAGGGGTGCCAACGATCTGCTTACGGCTTTGCCGTACTTTGGAAACGCAGAGGTCTGAACACCTAGTGGGTAGTTGTTCTCTAAACTATGGTCCCTTTTAGGGTCCTTTCTATAAGGGTGCCGTACTATATTGGAATATTGGGGACCTAAAAAGGGGCCCTAATTTAGAGAACTACCCTAGTAGCGGCAGAAGTGTACCTCCTAATTGAACCCTGAGCCCTCTTGCTGTCTTTCTGATGCGAAATTACACGATGATATGGATGCATGATATAGGGTCCTAAATCATTACCAATGCTGTCTTGGAGTCCCTAAACCCTAAACCCCAAATAATTACTACAGTATACCCTAGAACCCTGCTCTGGGCCTTCGTGTCGGTGGTATAAGCGTTACTTTAACCCACCAAAACCTATTTTTTGGTAGGGTCCCTATAAACTCCATAGTAAGATTCATAACAAGGACCTACAAAAAAGTGGGTTTTGGAAGGTTAAGATAAGGGTTTGGGTTTAGGGTTTACGGTTTGGGGCCACATGAAGAAAAACTGGACCTGTCACGACTTAGAGGTTCCTGAAATAGTGTCTACCCTACCCAGTCGTTAATGTGAGATATTCCCACGAAGCCATTCCGAAAGCCTACACAATACCCTTGAAAGACCTGTAGCTATCTCGGCCTCCATATTAGGGTCTGGGGTTACGGTTAAATTTTACAAGCCCCAAACCGCCGAGTAGCTTCAACCCTAAGCCTACACCCAAACCTTAGAGCATGAAGCCCCAAGGCCCTTGTAAAACCCCCGACGAGCCCAGACCCGTTATTACAAGAGCGGTCGCAGCCCTCCCGCCCTGAGCCAGTCTGAAGAATTCGAAGGTTCGATCGAGTTTCAGGTTTAGGGTTTGAAGTGACGCCCTAAACCCTAAACCCTAGACCCTAAACCCTGAATCCTAAAGGCCCAAAAGCCTCAAGCAACAAGACCCCATACAATTTCGGTTCTTGGCGGGCCAGGGCCACGGTGGTCGGGGACGGGCAGGTGGGCAGCCGGAGCGGGCAAGGATGCCGAGACCAAAACAACGAACAAAATGAACGCCAAACTAGCTCAAAATCAACTTTTTCGATAGAAATATTGCCAACAAAAAACAAAGATCGATACCGGCGACTTGGGCCGCAGAGCCCACCCAGCGACTCAAAAAGCCTTTAATTGCGTTAAAGGGAACACTTTTTTCAAGGGTTGCTAAGGTTCCTTTGAGGGCGGGTTCTTTTAAAGGAACCCTTTAGCGGTTCGACAAGGGTTCAGGGTTTTAGGGCAAGGGTGTAGGGATCCTTTATAACGGGGCTCAGTGCTCCTGTTGAAAGGTTGCAAACGGGAAGAGGCGAGCCGTAAGACCCCGATATGGATCATAGGTAGCGATACCTTTATTTTGGTTTGGCGAAAAAGAGCACTCAGCCTGGGCCCACCACTTTTGTTACGTCAGTTTACCGATTCTCCATGCCCCGCAAGGCCGTGTTCTTTGCCGTTTTTGCGCAGTCCTCAGACAGGCTGATAAAAGACTAGCCTGGCCTTCTAAAGCCCCGGAAAAATATTCGTTAATAAGTTCCTTCCAAAAGCCTACCGAGAAGATCTGGCAGAGGAGCCCGAAGCCTGTTGCATCGACGTCCGAAGGTCCCAAAAATGATTCAACGGACGCGCTCCAAGATCCTAGGTCGTTGAAGCCTGAACTGAACCACTTGGCTACAATCAGGCATCTTTACCCCGTGCCTTGTAGGCATAAACTACCGCAAGTATCAAACATCCCAAACGGTGCCATAGGTGTCGTGCGGCTCATAAAGTCTCCTCTCTCTACTTCAGTACCACGGTCATCAGGGGTATCAGTTGTCTGAGGTTATCATGACAGTCGAGACGTTCGGTGCTGGCAGAGTGAGCTGGATTAGAGTTGCCAGGGCCATGGCCATCATCATCATCTTCATCTTCACCACCACCACCACCATCATCATCATCACCATCATCATCAACCCCATTACTGAAAAAATGCACTGGTCTTGCCCTTGGCGCATCACGGTTTCCAATGTTTTCCCCTTTGTTGACCTGTCTCCGCCCTTCGTCGTTGTTGTGCAAAGGGCCATGGCGAGTCCTCTTTGTCTCCCGGTCACATCACAAATAATATAGGGGCCTCAATAATTACCTATTCTAAATATTCAGGCCCCTATATTACCTTCTGCACAAATTGAGTTCCTTTGCTCTCTTGGAATCCTTTCTTAGAGGCCTCGAAACATCTAATAACTTTTTAGATCCTGTATGAACCTGTTCTAGAATGGAACCAATGGAACGCAAAGGCGGCGCTGTGTGGCCCCGCACCTCCAAGCGCCGGCCTCGTCTCGAGAAGTTCGCGTTTTTTAAACGGTGGTTTAAGGGTTTAGGGTTTCGGGTTTAGGGTGAAGCGACTAAGGGTTTAGGGAAAAGGGTTTATAGTCAAGGGTTTAGAGTGTTAAGTTTAGGGTTTCGTGGGCTGAGCGGTTCTTTTGGTTCTACAGGGGGTTCTAGAAGAGTTGTATCTAAACCCTAATCCCTAACCCCCTACACCCTAAACCCATTGTATATAGTGGGTTTTGGGTTTTATGGTTTTAGAGTTGAAGGTTTATGGGGTTGTCCTCCACGGATTGGCGTACGCAGCATATCCCTAAGACCTAAACTCTAAACCCTAAACCGTTTTTCAATAGTTTGTGTTCCAGAGGATGTAGAGAGAGTTTAATCAGGGTTTAGCATCGAGACACCCTATGAACAACTCAATACAGTATCTGAAAATCAGTGCTGGCATGCTGTTTTGTTGTCCCTATGCATCTTCGCATTATAACGGACATCAGAGCCTTGCTCTAATTATGAAGGCCCTTACCTCATTCGTTGGCCAGTTGGCTGTGAGGGCTATGCATGACGTAGGCTTCTGATCAATTTGCAGAGGGCTTTCGTTGTGATCAGACTTCAACATAAAACCCAGCAGGCCTGTTTAACAACCTACGTACAAGCCTCCGGCAAAGCCCTAAGGGAGTCTTTTGCAACGCCATAAGACCCTTATTCCACCCCATAAAGACATGAAGCCAACATTGAACCGTCATAAGCATATGAAGCCCTGTAAATCCGTACAAAGCCTTAGGAACATTTTCGTTTACGGATTCTCTGCAGGCTTGCAACTCTTCGGGTTGCTGAGTGGAGATGCCGTCCGACGCGTTGGGCACCCGGATAGGTCCAACTTCAAGGGGGGGTCGTGTTAAGAGGGTGCTATACGGTTCTATAGGGGTGTCATCAGGATTTGAATGTACTACTGCCACTCCAAAATACACAAGTATTAAAATCTACCCTATAAATGTTAAGGCCACTCTATTCTGGCTGAAGTGAGGTTTTCCGAAGCCCTGAACACATAAACCTGAAGACCAACTTCTAAATCCGAGGCCCCAATCTCAACGCTAGACCCAAAATCCTAGAGTCCTAGAGGTTTGGGTAGGGTTCCAAGAGTTAGGGCAATGAGGCTGTGGGGATCTAGGGCTCAAGCTGTTTCTTGGATTGTTTTGTTGTGGGAGGTTCGCGGTATTAGAGAGGATGGATGTGTGTACTGGTTTAGGGTTTAGGGTTTAGGTAGACAAGGGGACCCGTTCGAGAAAGTTGGGATTCTCTCCTAAACCCTAAACCCAAAGCCGGGGAAGCAAACTTACGTTCTCGGGGTATATAAGGTCTAGGGTTCAAGTACTTTGGAGACGGTCACAGCAGTTTCCAGACCAGGGGCCGTCGGAGAAGCTAGATGAAAGAAGGTTTGTGTTATGTTTACGTGTCGGGCCAGAAGAATATTGCTGCGTATATATTTGGGGCTAACTAGTAGGGTTAACAGTAGTGCAGCCACTCAAGCAGCTCCCTCTCCCTCTCCCTCTCCCTCTCTCCCCCTCTCCCCTCTCCCCTCTCCCCCTCTCCCCCTCTCCCCCTCTCCCGCGCTCTCTCTCTCTCTCTCTCTCTCTCTCTCTCTCTGTCTGTCTCTCTTTCGCTGCACCGACTCTCTCCTCCGCTGCTCTTTGCCTTTCGCCCCGCATGCCCGAGGCGCTGAAACAGACGCAGGCGTCGACATCTCAGTTGCTGGAGTGGCTGCAAATCCGACGGCAAGGGTTTACAGGGACAAAGGCAGAGAGAGGGAAGAGTGGAAACGCAGATACGAAGTGTTGGATATGGCTGGACTCTAGCTGGATCGCTGGGGAGGAAGGAAGGAATCGATAGAATCATCCAAGTGCACCACGAACCTCAAGTCCAAACCCCTGTGTTCTAAACAACCTCAAACCCTAAACTCCAAACTGTCCGATGTCGAAGGTCCACGGAGGACCAGAGGCACCTTGCTGCGAAGTTCAGGAGTAGCTGAGTTATATAGGGGCCTTAACAATTGGAATAGGGCTTTGGGGTACATTTTACTGCAACTATAATAAGGAGCCCCCAAAACCCCAGTCTAATTGTTAAGGCCCCTACATTAGCTCATATTTTGTGGGCTAGTGCTTCGCAGTTGGGTCTTTCGACGTCCGAGTTCAAGGCTTTCACGTTCGTGGCTTCGGATTCCCGGTGCCGGACTTCAGGCGATCTGTAGCTGGGTATTACAGGGGCCGCAACAATTACCTGCATTTTTTGGGAGTGCTCCTTATTATATTTTTACTATAAGGCCGAAAACCCCAAATCCTAAATCCGAAAGCATTCGACATAGATCAGGAACCACACCCAACCCGCGAAGGCCTAAGAAGCGGTGCGGGATTGAATGTCGTCTTCCTATTCTTAGTCTTAGTCTATTTACAACCGTGTTTTGGTTCTGATGTTGAGTTGTCTTGGCTATGCTGCTGTTGATGATATTCGTTCGTTCGTTCGCTCGTCTTCTTCTTCTTCTTTACATTAGCATATACTAGCATCCCATATAACTGTGGTAATGAAACCAGTGCTTGCTATTAGTCGTATTTGTGATAATCATGTCGCTAGCGGTAGTGTTGGCGCTCAGCGCCATTGAACTCCGAAACCCGAAGCATTAAAGCCCTGTAAACCCCACAAGCCTTAGTCATCACAAGATTTTTTCCAACAGCTCCCTTATGGTTTAGGCCTTATAGCAATTTCAATCAACCCCATTCAAACCCGAGTCAACACCCCAAATGAATCCTAGAACATCTGACCGTAAACTCCTAAACTCCGAAACCCTAAACTCCCAAACTCTAAACCCTCAACCCTGAACCCTTAAACCCTTAAACCCTCAACCCTCAACCCTTAAACCCTAAACCCTTAAACCCTAAACCCTGAAACCCTTAAACCCTAAACCCTTAAACCCTATAAACCCTGAACCCTCCAAGCTCCGCGCATTTCTTCCCAGGCGCCTGGCCCTGCTCTGGCGGAGCGCGCGGCTGCGCCAGGGCCTGCCGGACGAGGAGCCGAACATTTTGACGTTGCTGTGGGTGGTTTTTTGAGGGTTTTTTAAGGGGTGTTAGGGTTTACGCTGTAGGGTTTGCGGGATTAAGGGTTTAAGGGTTTAAGGGGTTTTAGGGTTTAGGGTTCAGGGTTTTAGGGTTTTAGGGTTTAGGGTTTGGGGGATTAAGGGTTTAAGGGTTTTAGGGTTTCGGGGTTCAGGGTTTGCGGATTTATGGGTTTTAGGGTTTACGCTTGAGGGTTGGGGGGATTAAGGGTTTACGGGTTTTAGGGTTTAGGGTTCAGGGTTTGGGGCGTGAAGGGTCTAGGGTTGAGGGGATTTCAGGCTTCTGGAGCTTGTTGTTCATTCTAGGAGTTGTTCTTTAGTCAGCGTTGTTAAAAAAAATCTTTTCGGGTTAACATGCAAGAGCGGGTTCTGTAAAGTAGTTTTACTTGGGTATGTAGACTACACATGAGCTCTTTAAATAGGGTTCTTTAAGTGTTGATCAGATTCTACAGACTACATACATGCGATTTTCAAAAGACGTTTTGGCGACCTCAACACCATGGCTTCATCCAGGTCCTCGGCGAGCACCGGCGCCAAGATCCTGAAGCTGATCGACGACAAGCTGGTGGCCGAGGACAGCGACGAGTGGGCGCCCAAAGGCATCATGCTGACCCTCGACGGTATTGAGGCGGCGAAATGGGCATGGATTTTGTGTGGCTATGACGAGGAGCGGCGCGTGGAGCGCTTCACCGATTGGTTCGGCGAAAAAGCCCGCTCCAAACAAGCATCGATCCCGGCGGTCCACTCATTCTTTTGTGGTTCGGCAGTTCTGTGTCAGTTGGACTTTGAGTGTTGTGCAGTAACCCTTACATGACCATCTTCTGGGTTGCTTTTAAGGAGCTTTTTTTCAAGCCGCCATAATAATGGGATTCGATATACTATTGTAAACGCTAGGGTTTCCTTTTTTATTTTTTTGCTACTTACTACTATTCTTATTGTTGTAGTGTAACTTAAGTTCCGAAACAGCTGCCCAGTCTTGAAAGGCTGCCATGTCTGGTGGAGTCTTGAGCCTGCTTTGTGCGCCATCTCTGCGGCCCTGAACCCTAAACCCTAAACCCTAAAACCCTAAAGCCCTAAAGCCCTAAACCCTAAACCCTAAACCCTAAACCTTGAGTCAGCGATGTGCAGACATGCTTCGTAATACCCAGGGCTATAGTTCTCAATATACAGGGGCCGTGGCTATAGAAAAGAGGGTGCTGCGGTATAATCAGACTCACTCTAAAGGGACGAGAAGGGCGTATGTTCAGCAGTAGCATGACCAATCAGATTGTGTTTAAACATTTCTCCACAAGGGTTTCACGGAGGAGTTGTGAGGTTATGAAGGTTTCTGGGAATGTTTCCATCACCCTAAAGCCTAAATCCTAAACCCTAAACCCTAAAGGTTTGTAGAAAGGTTGTGCAAGGGTTTCCAAAAGGTCTCAGGGTTCAGGGCCGTGGGGCTTCGGGTTTCAGAGTCTTCGGGTCTACAATTTAGGGTTCAAGGCATTGGATTTAGGCTTTACGGTTTAGGATTTACGGCTGAGGGTTTAGGGAGTTTAGGGTTTAGGATTCTGGATGTTAGGGTTCAGGGAGGGTTTGGCTTAATCCTCACGTGCAAAAAAAGGGGTCAAGCCTGCTCCAAACCTGAGTTCAGAAACAGCCCCAACCCCCGAAACCCCACAGCCGACACAACCCCTAGCAACCTTCTTGAACCCTTTAGGGCTTGGGGTTTAGGGTCAGTGACCCTACGTACAGCACTCTTCTACAGCTTCCAAGAGCCGAGATCGCAGGACCTGGGCGTTCCAAGCGCGCCCAAAGTTGCGGATGACGGAAGGTTTCTTCGAGAGCGACAGTTTCAGTTGCATAAGTCTAGCAGTCCAAGTTTAGGGCTACGGACTGTATAACGGCTTTACATAGGGCCACAAAAAGGTTTTGCAAGGGCTCTACACAGGCTTTGCAAAAGCTCAGGACCCCCGAATTAGGATTATCCCGCAAACCTTACAGGGATGATAGATATGATCTAGGATGCATGTTGGGCTCTGTGCGCACGGTGAGCCCCAAGAAAGGACGCAACTCCTGCAGTAGTGACAATACAGGGACCATGGCAATGATAAAACGATGTTTGTTTGTTTGTTTGAGTGGGCAGGTTTTTCTGCATACATACGCATACGTGCATTTAAACATGTGTGTATTATATATTTATAATACTATGTGCATCTATGTGTGTATATATATATATAGAGAGAGAGAGAGAGGCCACAAGGAATGTGGAATGATGTTGGAAACCATTAAAGCTTCCATGCTAATCCCCCGCGTATGGGAGGGCTTCTACATGTGCTTGTGGGGTTCTGCCTCGGGTCTGTCGGGTGTGGTAAGAGGTTCGGTAGAGTTGAGCATCGATCACCGAACCATGCATCCAAAAATTCCTAAACCCCCCCTCCAAACCCGAAGCCAAAAAGCCATCGACCCTAAGCCGGAAACCCGAAAATCTAGATCCTGATATCCTTAAAGAGGAGCTATACAACGCTACGCGTCACGTCGTCCGAACCTCGAGAAGCCCACCATCGTCGCCACTGTCAGGTTTCTGGCCGGTCCGCTGGTGGTGGCTCCTTCCTCCAAAAAGGAGGCCGGGTTTAGGGTGTAGGGGATGTGGGGTCTTTAGGGTATTTTCGCCTTTCTGGTATTTCTGGTATTTAGGGTACTTGGGGTATTCAGGTATTTAGGGCGGGGAGTCCGCGAGGGGTGGGCATGACTCAGATATGCAGGGGTTAAGGCCTTGAATCGGGTACTGCGGGCCTTAGATAGCTGCGGAAGGTTTGGAGTTCAGGGTTCAGGGTTCAGGGTTTGGGTTTAGGGTTTAGGGTTTGGGTTGGGTTTTCTGCGGTGGGGTAGGATGGGATATGGCGGCCGCATACACAGAACCCTCGCCCAACCTGCGTGCACATGTCTTGCTACTGTCAGGTTGAGCGTCCGTTTGTTCAGGTGCCGCGCATTTTCACAGCTTTGTGTGCTGAAAAGTTTGTTTCGTTGCTCTCTTCTTTCTGCTTGCACTTCATGCCTCGACGCGGACTATCACTGGCGGTGCGAGTCTCTCCCTACAACACAGAATGTGTGGGAGGTGATTTGCCGTTGTGCCACCTTATTGGAGGGCTTCCTGCTCTGCCGCTGGTTCGGCCAAGGAGCGGCCTGTTGTGCTTTACTGTTTGTCAGGCAGTGTCCAGAGTACAGCTAATCGCATCAAAAGCCCCGAGTGCGGTGGCTGGTTGCGCCGGAAGCATGGCAGCCCGAGAGGATGCACAGCGGGAGGCCTTGGCTTCGCAAGTCTGGCCGAAGCTGTGCGTGGGACGGCGTGGCCCTGGAGTCTTTGGGCGGCTTCAGTGCCGAACAGTTGGCCTTCCTCTTCAAAGACCGCGCTCCGGGCACGCTAAGAAAGCATCTGAGTGGTTGGCACAGATGGCTCCAGGTGTGTCGGGCTTCCGGAGTCCAGGTTGCCCGGCTTGCCCTGGTGTAGTGGATTTTGTGGAGGCGCTGGTTGAAGGGGCGAGTTGTGACCGTGGTGGCAGGCGATCAGGAGCTGCTCGAGTGGTGATACACGCCTTGTGTTTCATTGCTCACGAGCTGGGCCTGGAGCCTTTCGCTGTGATCTTGAACGGGCCTATTGTGAGTTCATGGCTTTCAGCGCAGAAGTGGTCCCGCCGTGCACCGCTGCCTCCATTCACAGTGTGCCAGTGAGCTGGCAGTGTTGGATTGCGAGGAACCTGTTGACAGTTTTCTGATGGGTTGCTTCCTTGTTATGTTGTGGTCACGGCTAAGGTTTTCTGCACAGCCCGTGGACTTGTCTTCTCTGATTGTTGCTGATGGCTCCTTTCGCGGATGGTGCTGGCGGAGCAAATCCAGCCCATCTGGTTTCGCCTGGGGATGCCTGGTCTCGGGGGCCACTGGCAATAGCTGGGCTACCCCCTTTGCCGCGGAGCTCTTCAAGATCCACGCGGTCTACCCCGAGCGTGACTATCTTTTAGGCACTTCGACGGGCCGGATGGCATATTGCACGGCATTATCTCACCTGCGACGCTGCCTGGCTGCCTACACATCCCTCGACGTGGCTGACGTGCGCAAGTTCGCACTGCATAGCTTGAAGACGACGCCCCTTACTTGGGGCTTGCAGCTCCAGCTTGGGGTGGAAGTTAGGGCGGCACAAGGACACCATCGTCCATCGTGTGCGCAACTCCTCTGATTGTGTCGAGAAATACTGCCGTGACGATGTCCTTCCAGCTTTGCGGTGTCAAAGGAGCATCGTGCGCGCCGTGCAGAACCGCTTGGTACCGTGTACGGCTTGTGAGTTGGACTCTGACACTGAAGTTGAGGCAGCGTCTGGTGATTCCGATTTTGGCGGATTGGATGCCAGTGATGCTGACAGCGTGCAGAGCGGTGCACTGTCTGTCGCCTCCGAGCCGGAGGCGGATGTGCTTGACTACCAGGGTCCGTGGAGGTAACGGGTTGGCTCCATCGCCGTGTGCAGTGCGAGAGCGCTGATAGCAGCAGCATGTTGCAGTACGACGACCATGTCATCGGCAAAGCCTGCCGGCCATCAAGCGGGCTGGGAGATCATTACAAACTACGTGCTGGATCCTGGCCTAGATGTTTTCTGTGCCTGCCGCCATGGGGCATGCTTTGGTGTCTGCCATCTTCTCCAGAGTAGGCGCAGTGTGGCCCAGTGTGTCTTAGATGGTGTGCTTTGCGCTTTGGCCGAAGGTGTCTGTGCCCTCGAACGGGCTTGTGTAGCATCGGGGATCCTGCGTGTGCAGAGGCGCGTAATGGTGCATGTGTTCAGTGTGGTGCTCTGGTGTATTATGTTCTTGGCCATCACCTTGGGTGCTCTGGCCTGCGCTTTGGGCGCTTCAATTGTCTGTATTCGCATCGAATTGTGCGCTTCTCAATTTGGGTGATGCAGTGTGCTGTACTGTTCCCGCGATCACCCGCTGCCTTGTTGACTTGTCTCGTGCCCTTCTTGTTGTATTTGCAATGGCATTCTGGCGGAGCAAGCTGGTGGAGCAAGGGGTGCAGGAGTCAGTGGCGGATGCTATCATTAAACTCGGCTATGGCACGCAGGAACTTTTCCGCAGCGCTTTCGTCGACCAGGCAGCCTTCGAGGGCTGGTTGGCCAAGCTGCGCTCCAAGCTCGGCAATGCTGAGTGGGATGCCTTGGATGCGGAGGGCTGGGCCACGCACCCTGTAGCGGCACGCATTAGGCTGTGCTGGAAGAATGGCTTGACTTTGCCAGCCCTGCAAGCGTCTCCCAGCAGCTTAGTGGTTGGCTCTTCTTTGCCGCTGGGGCCGGTTGGGTCTTCCGCTGAGTTTACGCCCAGTGATCATGAGAAGATGAAGCGCCAACTCGAGAAAGACTATTCTTCGGCGTTCGTGACAGTGGAGACCTGGAGTGGCTTCCTTGGCGACGCATTTTGAGCGAGGAGCAGCCTTCGAAGGTGAAGTCTCGACGCAGGCGTTCAGGGGCCGATGCGTCTCCCGACGAGTGGGACCTCCGCATTGCAGGTGCTGCGTTGCGGGTGCAGCACCTTCTCGAATCGCTCTCACGCGTTCGCCATGGTTGGCGCGTGCCACTTGCACAGTTGGGTGGTGTATGTCAAGAAGTTCCTCTCGTTGTATGCGCGCAAACCTTCAGTAGACTTTGCAGCCAAAAGTGTCTGCCCATGCCCATGGTTTCAGGTGCGCGCTACAAGTGCAGTGAGGGTTTATGGTTTAGGGCCTATAGGGTTTAGGGCGTAGGGCTTCGGCGCAAGGGTTTAGGTTTAGTTTTTCTTGGTTGTTTTGGTGCCTTCTAGGAATGATCTATTGTCGTCTTCAGGTCCTCTGATCTTCAGAGCTTGAGACCAGGCTGTTTCTTGCGCCCGGAAACTTGAGGAAAAACCCTAAGCCCTAAACCCTAAACCCTAAACCCAAAGCCCCAAGCCCTAAGCCGTGAACCTTTAGCCCCAGACCCTAAACCTCAAACCCGAAACCCGACATGGAGTTTGGGTTTAAGGTTTAAGTGGCTCAAACGTCATAAAGTTTAGAACCTTGGGGCTTAGGGCTCAGGCTTAGGGTAGATGTAGTGTTTAAGGTAGAGCATGGGGCTTTATGTTCGGGAGTTAGTTGAGCATGTTCGGACGTGCCCACAAAGCCTTGAGGGATTGAATCAGGGGTTGTTATGACGGAAAGGGGCGGAAATCCCGACCTCTTACTCGTAGGTCTAGCTCGTGAAAAAAACATTTCGGGGTCTCGGAAAGTTCGGGGTGCCCCGTTCAGGGATTCTTGTTGCCAGGATCCTGTTGTTTCAGGTTTATGTTAGAGCCAGTTCGGAAGCTTGTTCACACAATCCCTAGAGCGGAAGGCTTAACCTCCACGGTCATTGCATCGGGGGAGAAAAGCCCTAAGTTGCCTTAAATCCCTGGGGCACACAAATTCGTGAATCTTCCTCGCCATGAACTTGGTCCATTGATGATTTAATATAGAACCCCGGAGAAATACGCATACTTATCCTCAGGGTTCCAAAATATAAAGTATACCATAATATATATCCAAACCCTTGTTCCAATTGTTAAGGCTCGTATGTCAATGAGCTTATGTTCGGCAAGGAAAGGCCCATCCGGCGCCGTGCCGCAGAGCTACTCCAGGCCGTTCGAGGGTCCTGGCATCTTTTTGTGTTTTTTTTCTTCTGGTGGGGTCGAGTTCGAGTTTAAGGGTCCAGACTGTGGCATCCATGGGTCGAGGCTTACAAGCCTACTTAGTTCATGATATTTAGGGTTTTACTGGCTGTTGCGTTTACGGTGCACGGGTTGTTGCTCGCGTTGGGAGGGATTTCTTGTCTGTTCGATTGCCTGGATGGTTTCTCATGACTTCACAGTTAACGGTGGAAGGGAGGGCCCCATCCTGGAATTTGACTATGATTTGGAGCATGGACCTTTAAGCTGGCTACTTTTCAAACGAGACCTTTGACCACCGCACAGGGACTCCTTTTTACTGCAGGAAGCACTTTTTACTGCAGGAAGCACTATAAAGATCTATATGAAAAGTCGTCGTCTTCCTTTAAAAACCGCGTGTGTACCATGGTAGAATATACGACGAAACCCTAGTCTAGGATAATAAGCCCCAACAAGCCCCCTATTTTACCTCCCAACTGAGCACTACTGTACGTTCGATTTCCGAAACACGCTGACACCGACACCATCGAACATAGCATCAGTAGATTCTGTGTGCACTGCCACTGTATTGCCATTGAAAGTCTTCGTAAGCGCGAAACTCTGAACTCGGCATAGCGACCTCGACGAACCCTATGCAACCCCACAAGCACAAACGCAACCAACAAACACACATCATAAACAAGAACGTCATAGAACCACGGAAGACCTACCCCGTAACGAAACCCCAAAACTCATGTGGTTTCACCAAATCCTTATGGAAGGCTCTGGAGGGAGACAAGCCGCCGCGGCCTTGGAGTCGTGCTTCAGTGTGCGCAGTTTAGGGTTTAAAGCCTTTGGGTTCGGGTTTTTCGGGTTTAGGAGTTAAAACCCTAAACCCTAAACATTTCAGGGGTTTAAGGACCAGGGATTTGGGTTCAGGGTCGGGGCTATGCTACAGGTTTGAGTGTCGGCTAAAGGGTTTGCTTTTCTATCGTAGTGTCCTCCCCAAAACCTTCAACCCTAAACCTTAAACCCTAAATCTTAAACCCTAAACTCTAAACTCTAAGCCCGACACCCTACGCTTTTGGGCGTTTGGGGCCATCGTGGGGTGGCGGGCGGTTCAGGGGTTTTGTTTAGGGGTTCAGGATTCTACTAGCTTGGTTCTAAGATGAACGGGGATGTAGATTTGGCATTTGGGTGTCTGGGTTTGGAGTTTCATTGCTCGGAGTTCGGAGTTCTAAGTTCGCGGCTTCAGGCTTTTCGCACATCGGTATAATGAGGGTTTGGGTGTGGTGTTTGCGGTTGAGCATTGAGGTTCTCACATTCAAGCCTAGTGGTAGTAGTGGTAGAAGCAGTAGTAGTAGTAGTAGTAGTAGTAGTAGTAGCAGTAGTAGCAGTAGCAGTAGCAGTAGCAGTAGGAGTAGAAGTAGGACAGTAGTAGTAGTAGTAGTAGTAGTAGTAGTAGTAGTAGCAGTCGTGGTGGTGGTGGTGGTGGTGGTGGTGGTGGTGGTAGCAGCAGCAAGAGTAGTAGTAGCAGTAGTAGCAGCAGCAGTAGTAGCAGCAGCAAGAGTAGTAGTAGCAGTAGTAGCAGCAGTAGTAGCAGGAGTAGCAGCAGTAGTAGCAGTAGTAGCAGCAGTAGTAGCAGGAGCAGCAGCAGTAGTAGCCGGAGTGACAGGAGTGGCAGTAGCAGTAGCAGCAGCAGGAGCAGGAACAGTAGCGGGAGCAGTAGCGGTCGCAGTGCAGTCGCAGTCGCAGCAGTAGCAGTAATAATCTAGATATGACAGTTACCATGCATTACCATGTCACTGAGAATACTCATCATCAAGATCCCAAGCACTAAACCCTAAAACGATCCTTTTGGAATCTAATTGCGTCTCCTTCGTTGTCTTCCGAGGTTGATCGTGAAAGGCCTGTGGCTCAGCCGAACGTCCGACAACGGGCACCCGGCATCCGCTCTTGCCACATGGGTTTCTTTACGGCTTCCGGCTTAGAGTCAAAGGCAGGAGTTTGCAAAAGAAGATCTCCGTGGAGCTTTAGCAGGAATCTACACAAGTATTTAAAGGGTTTTAGTTGTTCGTGGGGGATTACATACGTAACAATGCTCCCGTAGAGTTCCTATACGGCTATATCATCATGTGAGCCAAAGCCTTAGTCTATCATTAAGGCCCCTGTGTGAAACCCTAAACCCTCTACAGAACTTAACACAAAAACGAACCCTCCTCTGATTACGGCCCCTATACAAGTGGCTTGCGTTCCCAAGTCCGGCGGAGTCTAAACAGGCGGTCTACGCGACATCCCCGAAACCGCCAAAAACCCAACCCCCAACCTTGGACCCTATAGCCTAATCCCTAAACCCAGAAAGAAAAATGTCCGGAAGCCTAAACCCGAAACCTCAAACCCGCAAGTTCTTAAGCCTTTGAAGGCATTGAGGCCCAACTCGCAACCCAAGGGACTTCGAGAGAACTTAAAGTTGTCCCTATATAGGCTCTTTGGGGCCCAAGTATATGTACTGGGTACAACATGGACCCAAAGGGTAAGAAGAAGCCCATAAACTCCGAGGTGCCAGCTACACCCACGGCTTGTCCCTCAGCCTTGGGTCTTGTTGTATCAGATTGCTAAGACTATATTAGTAGTATAGTCACTCTGGCATCAGAACCATATTATTGTTATAGTTATCGCTGCTGTACTTTTATACTATGCCCCCAGCTGACAGACTTTGTCGGGCCGATTTGGAGCCTTTCTGTCACCTGAAGCTTCCACATTCACAACCGATCATGTTCAACCACTCTTGGGCTAGTACTACAGGTCATACTACAGCATTTTCTTTTGGGGTTGAGTTGTCGCCCGCTATCGCTTGCTCGAGTCGTTCTCTCGCGCGCTCTCTGCTTTTGTTTCTCTCCCTCTCTCTACATGCTATGCATATGTACATCATATATATATATATATATTTATACATATGTATGCACACACACACACGCACGCGTATTCGATCTCTGTCTCTTTACATAAATACAGGCAAATGTATGAATGTGTGTATGTTTTAGAATAACATGTCGTCCATCCATCCATCCATCCATC